ATAGATTTTTAGGACATCTGCAGTATAAAGGAACTTAAAAAAATCTTTCTAAACTCTTCATATTAATGGCTGACAATTTAAAATGAACAGCAAAGGCTCCTGTCTGTTACTGGTACTCTGTCTATGTATTTCATAAGGTTTCCTGTGTTGCAAGAGTGAATACAATAACTGTGTCAATCATGCAAATGGACTTCAAATATGGGCTCTGATTTTCAGAACCAGAATTTGGGATTTCTGAAGCAGAAAAGAATGACTTTTCGGATCCCTTGATTTCCCTGTCCACAAGCCACCAGATGGCAACATCTCTTGGATTCAAATCCAAGATACTCCATGAGATTCACAACGTTTGTTGTCTGGCTTTCCTGCCCTGCTTAAATCTCTTTGTAAGACCTCTTTCAACCCAGCTCCACCACGGTAACTCAGAGGATGCAATTAGCACCGGAGTCCTTAGTCACCTACTAGGCAAACCCAAACATGTGCTTCCAGCAGGGCTTTAAATAGCTGCCCAGGCTGGGGGCCCATTGTTTGATAGCTCAAATGTGAATTCTGAAAATAGGAGGTTTGGACAGGATTTCCACTTTTAGAGGAGTAGGAAATGAAATCATGTTTTAGCAGAGCTCTGTTTAGGGGTGTTTTGTCTCCATGCACGCCTTGTTTAATGAGAAAATGTCCAGAGAGTTTTGCTGCCACCCTTTTAACCGCACCCCAGATGACAGACACAGGTACCAACTGGGTGGCCAGGTCTAAGGCCATACATTAACTTGTCTGTTAATTGCTTACAGCTCAGAAAACTCCACCTTTTCTTCTGCTCATTGTTTTGCATCGTTATCGTGTGGAGGAGGCAGTGCTATCATACTGATGCATCTCATCTTTTTGAGGATAAGTACAGAGAGACTAGAACCCTGGGTTCTTAATTTTTTGTTCTATGTATTGCCCAAAGCAAGTTTCAGTAAGTGGTCTAGTAAGAAATTATTTAGCTGAAGAGTTGTTGTCTCATTTTAAATAATTTTTAAAAGTGTGGTTTTACGTGAAGATGAGGAATTCACTTCAATGTGACAGAAGCAGTCTCTGCGCCCATCTCTGCATAGACTGAAATAGTTTTTTATTTTATTTTTCCTGCAATACATTGGCACTTCTCAAAACAGCTCCAAGTAGTGAATTGTTTTCAAAGTAACTGAGGAGCAGAAGGAGAAATGGGGCAAAATGCAATGCAGGAAGAATTAAGCAATGGGTTTTTTGACTTTTATCACAGTTAGGCCAGCATATAAATGAACTAATTTCACACTGTGGCAAAAAAAAAAAAAAACCATATAAAGAAGAGAAGCCTAGCTATACACGTGAAAAGGTTATTCTGTGCAGTCTGAGATGTCAGCAAGGTAGAAACACTGTCGTGTTTGTCAGAAGAGTTAAAATTTGAGTTGGGATAGTGCTGGATGAGAATAACAGTGTGGTGATGTTCAGTATTTCATCATTTGCTTTTGATTGCTATTTTGGCCAAAGGGCCTGGTTTCTGGAGAAGACTGAAGGCAGTTGGGGGGGTGCTGTACGCTATCATGAACCTGATCGTGTTGTAAAGCACGGAGATTTCTCTTCCCTTCTGCGGGTGCACTCGTCTGTGTGATTTATTCAGATGCATGTGTTTTCAGCCTACCAAAATGGAAACCTTTACAAATAGGCTATAAATAGGTTCATCAGTCTTCCTGACACACCCAGGATTTCTTTTACCTTTTTAATGAGCCAGACGTTTTTCTGTTCCACTTCTGCGGAAGGTGTCCAAGGGAGTTACAGCAGTCGATAGTCGAACACCCTGATGCTTGCAAAGTGCATGACTTGGTGCTTAACCCACGTTAGGAGAGAGCCCCGCCGTCTACCAGCCAGTGCAGAAAAGAGACAATCAAGAGCAATGGTGTCTATTTTGGCACTGCCCAGAGCTCTTTGTGATCTTGGGCAAGTTACTTAAACTCATAAAAACAGATTTGGGCTTGTTTTACAGATGATAACCACTTATCTCCTGAGAGTGCCAGAAAGCTGAGCTCACTTTTGCTAATGCTCTGGGAAAAAGGGCTGTTGAAGTTCAGATATTAGTCTAGGCGAAGGAAGCCACAGTCTTTGATGTGGAGAGAAGCGTTGCCCCACCGATGGTTCCTTCAGAAGATTCACGTACTGGGGACATGTTTGCTTACATCGTTCCTGTAGTGATTTCAAAGCAGAGGGGCAGAGACCTCTTGAGCAATCTTTTTAGTATTGGCCACCCTTGCTACTTACTGGCTCCTCTTTAGTTTGAACTGTTTGCCAAAAGTCAGAACCTGTCCCAGACTCTTACCCCCTGAGTCTGACATCTTCTTAGATGTAGGGAAGGAGAACATCAAAGCATTGCGAGCGGTTGCCTTTTCGAAGAACATGCCCCAGGGTTTAGCAGGATGCTTGTTTGATCCTGAGAGATGAAAATGGATCATCAGCTCTGTCACCTCCCTTTCAAGGCTGCACTAGATATCTGGGCGAGTGTCAAGAGAACCATCGCTGGCTGCAGATCAGAACATGGCCTGTTTGTCACCTCCCCTTGTGTTGCATTGAACAATCCTGTAGCTTTGCTTAATTTTGGGCTGGTGTTTCACGTACGCTCCATCCAAGGGAACTTTGTGTACATCCATGATGTACCAGTTTAAGGAGACCATGTGTCTTGACTGAGGTTTCTCTAGTTGTTGTCATGACAGAGGAGCTTTTGCTGTCCCACAGAAGAGTTGTTTGGCTTCATGACAAGGAAATGACTGTCCCAAAGTGTTTCTTGTAGCTGCTCATGGGCCATGTTTGCCTTCCACTTCAATTGTGAAAGTCCACTGGAATTCTGGCAGAGTAGCCATAGTCTAGGTTATTTTGCAGGTGGGATTCTTGTGGGAATGGATAGAAAATAGTTTGGGGAAAAAAAAAAAAAAAGGTTTTGCTTTTCTCATGTTATTAAGGAGTCTTTTATTATGATTTTTTTTTTTTAACTCTGCATTCTAGCGAACTTCTACTGCTTTGCATGAGGGAGAGCCAAGTTCGCAGCACTTGAGTCAGCTCCCATAGGGCATTCTCAGCAGGCTGCATGCAACTCCCTGCTTTTGTGGAGGTTTTAAAAAAAATTAATAAGTCTTACCAGCTCCTTATTCTGATGTCCTTAAGAAGATGAGCAAGGCAAGAAGGTGGAGGGATGTACACTTCTGAACTGCATTAAGGCGAGTTCCCCCAAAGTTGTACCATCTCCCCGCATCTCCCCTGAACATTTGAGGCTTCTACTGTGAGGATGAGTGGATTGGTTTCATCTGGGCTGCTGCGATCCGTGTCGCTGCCCGTCCTGTTGACTGGTGCTGTATTACAATGCACATGCAATATTTCCAAGAACAGCAGAAGTAGGTCTTCCTAATCTTATTCTTTTTTATAACGTCAATACTGGTAAATCTATTCCTTCAGCTTTCACATTATCCTCTCACTAATGGATGCCTGGTGCTGGACGGAAAGAAGTTTTCTCACCTTTCAGCTTCCGAGCCTCCTGGTTGTATTGAGCTATTGCAGTGATATCCGGGTGTGTTTTCATCCTCCCCTTCTACGCTTGGCTTTGATACCTTTCCTTTGCTCTCCTTAGGAAGCTGCGCAGCCTCGTCTCTGACAATTTTGGTGCTACCCCCGGTGTCCTAATAGCAGTTTTGACTTTTCAATTAACTTCAGGATCGCCTCTTTAAGCAGACAAAACCTGTATAGATGCCAAAAGCCTCAGAACAGATTTGGAAGGTTGGCTGAAAGACCATGAAGATTAGGGACATATTTTTCCTTTTGTCAGGGAAATCAACAGCAAAGGGCCCCGACACAAGAAGGAAACTTTCCCACTGACCACAAATAGGGGCTTAAATTGAATTTTCAAGCCTTTAAAAATAAATCGTCATTTTGTATTTAATTAAGCAGGGTTTCATGAATGTAGTAGTATGCTGAGGTCATGGGCAAAGAGAAGCTTTTCCAGTAATTAGCGCAGGGTCCATGCTGTTCTGGCAAAAACAGCCATGACATCAGTCTGAGACTGAAACAAGAAACTGTGCTGCACGGTGAACTTGAAACACAAACCTTATTATTGAAGGGGCTTGTCTGACAATTACAAGTGCTGGTTGTGTTGGACACATAGTATATTTTTCCTTTTAAAATTGCAAAAAGGTGTTGTGGGGGTTTTTTTTTTTTTGTTGTTTTTTTTTTTTTTTTTTTAGTTTGAGTCGTTGAAATTGCTGCCATGCCAGGGCATCCTTTCTCCTGTTTCCCCTGCCCTAAATAAATAAATGTTATCAAACTTCCAACATTCTTGTTTTGTAAATATGGAAAGTGGCCATTTCCACGTTTTTATTTGGCAGAAGCAGCTTAGTTCTAGTTTTGTCACGTGAACCCAAATGCAAAGGGCAGGTGCAGTGGTGAGCGTGGAATTGGAGGACACGCACAGGGCATGCCTGGGCAGGTCGCGCTCTTGTAGCCATTTAGGTCTTTGTTTTAGGTGAAATTGCAGTGCTTTCGGTAGAAGCCAAGTGTTGTGACAGCATTTGGAGTATGTAGTTTTGCAGCACTTGGATTCTAGTTTCTGGTGAGTTACTGGAGTCCTGTGGAGCTGGAAAAGAAAAGTTTGACTGTATAATCTGGCTTTTGGTACGTTAGCAAAATCTTCACTTGAATTACTTAATGCTCTTGAGTTTACTTGTCGCTGATTAAAAATAGCTGGTCAGATAAGGGTGGCTTGTGTTTCTTGGTTTATATTGTGACAGAGAAGAGTTACACATCTTTTCCATTTAAAGCCTATAAGAAATACTTATCTCTGATGATACATACAAATTCCCAAGATAGTGTTTAATTTAGAGTTGTGACCCTCAATAACATGCTCTTACCTGATTTAATGTAAAGACTATGCGTGTCAAGGGAGTTGCTCAGTTGTGTTTCTTCAGTGCCTGCAATTGTTTTTTTTTACCATTTCCCTTGGTTTTATTTTGCAGGCCATGACTGCTGTGAGACAGTGAAGGTGGCACTTTGTGCCTCTAGAGAAGGTCATCCTGTTCTGGTTGTGGCAGAAGAGAGTTTCCAGTTTGTCCAGGATGAAGCCTATGATGCCGCCCAGTTTCTGGCCACCTGCGCCGGCAACCAGCAGGCGCTAAATTTCACCCGATTCTTGGACCGGTCGAGACCACCCGCTGCCGATGTGGACTTTTTGGATGAGAAACTGGCTTTGGCGTTTCGACACCTGAAACTGCCGGCAGAATGGAACGTGCTGGGAGCAGACCAGTCCCTGACCGGTGAGGACCTCTAGGGCACGCGTGAGACTTGTGGGTTGGGAGAGAGGTAAAAAGCCTGGGAGAAAGGGTTCCCTGCTTTGGAAACCCTCCATGCATCTTTCAAAAAGTGTGTTGGCCTCCATGCTCGGAGATGGGATGTGATGTGTCCCAGCGTGCCCCTACAACATCTGCATCCTATGCTTTGCATTTCAGCCACCTGAAAATATGTAAGGCACTGATATTTTCTCTGTGTCTTCTCTTATGAAATAGCACAAGCTGTTGTAAATTGTCAGTGTTTAAAACACACCCAGAAGGGTTTTTTTTTATGCGTATGCAGTGTTACGTGTATCAGCATCACACTTCTCAGATTTCCTAAAAGAAACGTGTCTGTGCGTAGAAAGTCTGATGCTCCTGGGAATATTATCCTTGTGCCACAAAACTGGCGCTTTTGGTAAATGTTACAGCCCATGTGCAAAGCGACTGTAATGTGTAAAAACCAGCTAATTTTTCTTGGAGAAACTGGAGGTCTGTCCCTGAGGATTTGCAGCACATCCCTGGTTGTATGCTGGCTGGGCGAACACAAGCATTCCCCAAACTAAGCCTGGACAACTTTGCAAATAAAAGAGGGTGAAAGTGGGAAAGCCTGACCCTTAACCACAGCAGTGAGGGCTACTGAGAGCTTATAAATAAACCCTGAGGCCGGCCCAAAGTCTCCGGTGACTGCTGAAACAGAAGTGCCAAGGTGTTTGGGATGCTGTGGCATGTCCGTGTCCTTGGAGTTCTGCTTTTTTTTGTCACAGGCAAGCTTAAGGAAGCGTATTGAGGGACTGGGGGGCTAGTTGCAGTGTGTACAAATCCTTGCTGTAAATTTTCAGGGTATTTTGGCAAATAATTTCACTTGAGGAATGTGGCTGTGAGGCATCCGTTATCTTTTGTAGGATGCAATGGTGTAAACACTTAAAGAGGAGCGGGATGTGGCTTGCTTGGCTCAGCAGGCTCCGTTCTGTTCACCACGACAGGGTTTTCTGCAAGAGTTTTTCTTGCTTTATTTTTCACTGACTTGCTGACTGCTTTTGTAAACGTGAATACACAGGCAAGCAATTGAAGCAGTGTTAGCAGCCGTTAAAAGATTTGATCATATTTAATGGTTTCTGGATAGAAATTCAGATGCTGTCATATGTTCACAAGGAAATAAACACTTGGTATTTTTTTCCTCTGTGTGGAAGACAACTGCTGTTTCTTTATGAATTTAAAAAACTTGTAATAACACAGACATTTCTGGTTTAAGTGATAAAAACATAGTCAAAGTGATCTTAAATTAATGAAAACTTTTCTTGAAGCTCTGAATTGTTGCTGATTTTGCAGGAAGGCTGAGATCCGGTTTCTCTATTTGACTTTGGTTATTCTTTAGAAAATCAGCACTTGGGGAAATCAGGCCGTAGGATTTACATTGATTTGCTCAGCATGCGCTTGTGTGCCTGGAAGTCGTGATCCTGTGGGGCTCTGAATGCTAATGGACCTGCAGAGCATCCACTGCATCTACAGTGGGAAGGGGGAGCTCTGTAGTGCTGCGCGTTTTGGCATCTTGTGGTGGGGTTTTTGTAGACAGAAGTGTAAGTGAATAAATACAATGACACTAAATGCAGCTTTCATTCAAGAATATTGGTGCTATAAAATACATTCCCTTGCAGTGAGTCCTTTCATAAATAACTGAAAAAGGGCAGTTTATTGATGTCTTGGTCTGTCTTTCACCTTCTGATTAGCTTTTTTGCCGGAGGCAGATTTATCTGGTAATTTTTTGCAGCGAGGTATTTATACATAGGGAAGGTGGGAGAATTTTGAGATTGTGACGAGAAGGATTTGCGTAAGCATCCCTTTGGTCACAAAACTGTTTTACTGGAGCGAGATGGAAGAGATGTCTCTGATTCCTGATGATTTCTACATTAGGAAAACCTCTGTGGTAAAATGTAGCACCCCTGTACTGGTGCTTGTGGGCTAATTTGTGTGGGGGAGCGAGAAAAAAGCACAGCAAAGGTTGAAGCTGTGGGAGCATCTGAACAAGGACGTGTGTTCTGGCCAGTGCCCCTCCAGCGGGACACCCCGTCCTGCGCTGCGTCACTACCTGTGACCAGCTATTCCAATTCATATTTCACGTTTCTCTAAATGTCAGCACCAGATGCTTCAAATAACCTTCTCGAAGGAGAAAATGCTATAGAAATGAGAACAAAAGAAAATGTCAGATCCCTTCTTGAAAGATTTTTAGCGCTGCCTCTAAGCTGGCACGTCTCTATGGGCTCTTGTGGGTTGGAAACAAAACGCTGCTGTTTAGCAAAACCTCTGAACGCAGGGGCGAGCTGGGAGCCTCAGCCAGCTCCCTGAGTGCAGCAGCCTGATGGGGAACTGCTGGTCAGAGATGGCTGTTGCTGTCAAGCACATTTAAAAGTTGAGTTTTCTAAGGACTGAAGTAGGAGTCCAGCTTTTACAAAACCAGTTAGGAAGTAGTGGCCCTTCTGCAGGCAGAAGCTGGGTAGAAGATCCACCATCAAGCACAGCTCTGCTGATCTTTGAGGAGGGGATGGCTCTATGTGGAGGCTTCTCCTTGCTTTTGCCTGCACCCAGCGCCGACCAGTCTTTGAGCAGAGGGCAGGGAGGTCATTGCCGTCGCACGCCTCGGAGGGCAGAGAAGCTGCTCAAAGTAAGAGCCAGCTCCATCTGCTGAGGCTGTTTAACTCATCTTTTGTGTCAGTAGGTTTGCGCAGTGCAAAGTGCGCGGTTAAGGTCCGTCCCACGGAGGAGGAGGAGGAGGCACGTAACGCCCCACGTGCTCCTGGGTACCAGCAGGCTGGCGGTCGCATCATTAAAATGATCTTCGGTGGTTTGCATTCATCCATGATTATTCCTTATGTTATCGCAGCATCAGCCCCCTTTCATCCCCCCTCTTTTCTAACACATTAGTAGGTTTGACGTTTTTTGTATGGATTGTATGTAAGTGCAGGATTACTGTGGACAAAGATATGTGAGAATCGTCTACTTGCTTACGTTCTGGTTACCAAACCGAGGTCTTTTAAGAGTTTGCCATTGCTCAAGATGAAAGGTACAGTATGGTCGTATAGCCAAATTGTTAAGAGCACGTCCTGTCAGCTGCATGTTAGAAATACCTCCAAAATTATTTAAAACTGCTGGTGGAAATTTGCAAAAATTCCAGTGACCTTTCTTTAATTTATTTATATGTAACCTACTTAAGTTAGCTGTTGCCATTTGACAAGAGAAATTTGTTCAACTTCAGTAATCCTTCAGTAATCCTGCTAGTCTCTTACACACTAGGTTGTCTTTACATTTATTCCTGTTATCTCTTTAGACATCATTTTCATTAAAACAAATTGAAAATAAATGAACATTTATTCCTGTGTTTTCATCAGGCCATTTTTCAAAACCCCACTACATTCATTTGAGTATCCTCATGCACTTTTTTTTTTTTTTCCCATTGTTCTGGAACAGCAAATGGTTTTACTGCTTAAAAAGAAACTGTCCCAAAATTCAATGCACTGAGCAGCATTAGTTAATCTAATCCTTACAGTAATATTATTGTAGGTATTTGGTTAACATTGCTCAGAACCAAATATTTACTGATATATATTACTCTGGTAGAGCATAAAAACTAAATATGTTTGTGATCACAAATCCTTAGTTCTTCACCCAAAATCCTTTGGAAAAAGGTGGATTTGTTTGGACCTCAGGAAGCTTTGAATGAACCCTTTGTGCCAAATTTAACAACAGACTGTGTTTTTGTAGGATTGGGGCTTTGATTACAGACTTTCTGTTCAGCAGCCAGCGGTGTGGAGCATGGTACCCAGCCTGGTCTTACCACTGACAGGAACGCTCAGGTGATGGAGAGCAGTGGCTGGACATCATGAATCCCTGATGGAAAAAGCGAGTTCAGAAACAGAATCCTCTCTCTTAAATCATTCATCAGTAGTCTCGTCTTACAGCTTTTCCTGCTTGCTTTTCTGTGGAAAGGTGATACTCTTGCCCAAATTTCTTATTTCTGATTCTTTGCCCTTCTGATTTGATTTGACTTTAATAAGGTGTCTAGGTAATAATTTCTTCATGGAATATTTTCCCCTTTAATGCATATATAAAAGCTATTCTCTCAAGCTTTTCCTCATGACAGCTTCTCTCAAAAGCTATACTTAGGTTTCAGGGTGTTTTGATCAACGTTATATTTCTGTGGAGAAGTAGCACAGTCAACCAACACCCGTGGAGCTGACTGGAAAGCAGAGAAGAAGGGACCTGTGCTGTTTTGGTCCTTTTTCCAGTAACCATGGCCATGTTTTTGCTGTGTGGTTTGTCCTTGGGATGTTGTGCATCTGACTTCTAAGTTGCCTTCCTGCTCTCTGTGTCTTTTATTTATCTCATTCTCCCTGAACCCACCTGCTGTGTAGGACACTTGAGGTGCAGCCTCCTATTTGCTATTTGTAGAAGGCCTCAGAGAACAAGTCTTAGCTTTTAATCCTTATCTTAGAGAAAAGGACCCCAGAAAGACTTGCATTAAGTGTCTGTTTACCCACAGATACAAAATATTTTACAGAGGTCCCAGGTAATGGGACTTTAGGAGAGTAAAATATCTTCTAGATCCCATTTGGTGCCATGCTAGCAGAACTGGGGATGAGAGCACCGAAGATTCCTGACTTCGGAGGTCCTTGGGCTCCATCCTCTCTTGCTGAGGCAGACAGAAGATGCTCGACCATTTGGCTGGATGAACTGGATAACGAAAGAAAGCCCGGCACGTGCTGAGGCTGAAGGAGGCAGCGGAAGCCGCGCCGTGCATGGTGCCATGGTCCTGCTCAGCTGGTGCAGCAGCACGTCCTTGCATTGCAGGGGCAGGGCAGGTGCACACTGCGTAGGGAAGGGATTTGCGCTGCAGGTAGAGTGTGTCTGAACCCCCTTGGGCAAGTGTGTCCTGACCTCCTCATCGTTTCTGTTCCGGGGCAGCTGCGTCCCGAGGACTGTGCTTTTCCCCC